TAAGATAGACAAAGGGGTGACTTCTTTCTGGCTTCAGCAAACACATGATTACAAAGCTGGGGCTGGGTGGGCGGAAGGACTCGAGCTCAGTTCTTCAATGTGGGCAGCTAGTTCAGTTCCTTCGGGATCCAGGGTGCCTTGGGTCGCTGGGGTCTCACCTGTGAGTGGGCACAGCAGTGAGCGTTTCCGGTGTGCTCTTTGTGCGGGGACCCTCCTGTCCAGTGGACCAGGAGCTCCGGGCTTGCATCTCACGGTTTGCAGCCCCTTCTCTGCCATCCAGCCCTGGATGCTGTCTTAGGTTGCTCCCTCGCTCATTCCAATCTCTGATTTAGAATTTGTCCCCTTGTGTTTTGACCTTGACCGCAAGCCTCCCACAATCCCATGGAACTCACCATGGGATTTCTCTAGAATCTGGCTCCACTTGAAGTCCTAGGGCCTTGACCCCCCATGACCCCTCTGATGGAACTAGCACCATGTGTGAGCGATGCCAGGGAAAGAATTAGGCAAGCACCGTCTAGGCCCAATGTCTCTGCAGGCACCACGAAAGCAGGGAGACAAGCTGGGCAGTTCTCTTTTTGGTTTTATTTATTTATCTTTTTACAGTTCTCTTTTTTAGAGAGTCCACCCATCACAGTAAAAAGTCCCACGTAACTTTGACATTTCATGAGTTACATCTCCTTCCTCTTTTAGTTTAATTCACCACTGGCAAGTGACCACAAGGGGAAGCACAAGAGTGGGAGGGAGAGAAAACACAGGTAGAAGACTACGGGACTGCGTTTGGAGCGTGTTCCTGCAGACAGACTCCTCCATGGGAGAGGGGTGAAGCCAACATGCACCTGCTGCTGCTTCTCCCTCTTCTCTTTTGGCCTCCAGGTGAGCGTGGGGCCTGGGGTTCTACACAGGGTGGAGGTTTTTCAGCAAGGAGTGAGGAACAGAGTGGGGAGGGGACTTATCTTGAAGGTATCTGGCAAAATAGTTGAGCCTGTTTCTAAGTAGTTCTTCCTAATAATGTGATAAGCCTTGTGTGAGTCATCTATGGGCCATTCAGAGCCTAAACTCATCAATGCAGAAAAACCAGTACCAGGCCCACCGCCTGACCCCTCGGGGGCTTGTGTTACTAAAAGGTCAGCCTGACCAGCCTTCTGGTCTGGGAAATGAGGAACACTCTGGTTACCCGAGAAGCCGTGTGGGTCCCTGCTTCTGGGACCTGGTTCATGCTCCCGGAGCTTTGTCCATATGTCCGAGCAAGGAGAGGCTCGAAGGAAGCGTTAGGGAGGCAGAGGTGAATGCAGGCACCTGGGGCAGAAGGATCCATGGACGTTTTGGAGGGATGGGAAAGGTTAAGGAGTGGCTGTTTGGTAGCAACAGAGGGTGGAGGAGAGGCTGAGATGTGGGAGGAGGAAGAAGGAGGAAGTAATCTTTAAGGTGATGAGGAAAGGAGATTTCCTGAATATGTCAGTGTTGGAAGCTCAGAGCGTGTTTGCTCGCTTCTCTTTCTCTTTCCTCGTTTCTGTCACTTTCTTGTTGACCCAGCGTCTCTGTTGATTTAAAAGAGCATCTCCACGTAGCTGCCTCGCCATTTTGCGTCCTTAGCTGGAGCATTCCTGCGGATTCCATAATCACACGTCAATTCCACAGCTCCACATGGGTAGCCACAAGACATACAAGCGTGACCGGATCAGACCTCACGTCCTCATGCTCAGTGCAGACCTGGTCCTCCCCAGTCTTCCCAGCGTCAGGTTTTAGCCTAACCATCTTCCTAGTTGTTCAGCCCCCCCAAAATGGAGTCATCTATCTTCTTCTCTCACCCTCACTCTCCTTTAAAGTGTGAAGTGTGATCAATGGATTTGTAGAGCCATCGAATGTGGTAGAGCTATGCACTAGACCATTACGCAGCCATGAAAAGAAATGAATTTCTGATATAGGCTACCGCATGAGTGAACACTGAAAATGTTCAGTGAAATGTCATCTATTTCATGGGATTCTGTGCATGTGAAATGCCCACATGGACATGTACCTCTACAGACTTGACTGACTAGTCGTTTCAAGGAACTAGGGGCGTGCAGGGAGGGAGCGTGACTGCTAATGGAAACCGAGTTTCTTCTGGGGCGATGGATATGTTCTGGGATTCTATAGAGATTATGGTGGCACAACTTTGGCAATATGTTCAAAAGCATTGACTCCTTAAGAGGCTGAATTACGTGATGTGTGAATTATATATTGAAAAAAGTGTTGAGAGGAGGGGGATTTGAAAAGCAGGAGTATTTGGGATGTTTGTGGATGTGAGGCTGTGGAAGTGGGTGGTCATAGCAACTTGGCAGCCCTTGAAGGGTTGCAACTGCTATGTGATCTAACTGATTGTCCAAAGCAAATGAGGTGAATAAACTGTTTCAAAGGACAGCTTGAGAAGACAAAGTAGATGATAATAAAAGGGGTGAAGACCTCGGGTGAGAAAGCCAAAAAGGAAGAGCACGCTTAATGTATCTCAAGCGGAAAGAAATGAAGAATAAATTTAAGCCTTGCATGCAATACTGAAGGATTTCATGGGCAAAATACCCAAGGATTTGGAAGCATCGGAAGAAGACGAAATGAATACAGAGTCACTACACCAAGATGAATAGTTGGCATCCAGTCACCTCAAGAGGTAGCACATGACCAAGAATCCATAATGCTGAAGACATTAGCCTAAATAAATAAATAAAGGCCCTAGGAATTGATGGACTGCTATGTGAAATGTTTCCAAAAGCTGATGTGCAAGGGAAACAATCTCTCCCATAAGCCAAAAAAAAATTGGGAAAGAGCTACCTGGAAATCTACTGGAAGAGACGCATATTTGTACCTTTTCTAGAGACAGGTGATTCAACAGAATGCAGAACTTATTGAGCAGTATCAATATTTTTGTCCCATTAACGGAGGCTCGGATTTCAAGAGGAAGACTGTCAACAAGATGGATTGACGTAAGGGCTGTAACAATGGGCTCAGACACAACAGGTATGGGATGGCACAGGACCAGGTAGTGTTTCATTCAGCTGTACACAAGGTCACTAGGAGTCAGAACCGATGCCACAGCATCTCACAACAGCTCAGTCACTGCCATGGAGTCGCTCTGACTCTTGGGGACCCTAGGGGACAGAGTATAACTGCCCTGTGGGGTTCCAATGTTGTGAAGCTTTACAGGAGCAGAAAACCTCCTCTTTCTCCCTCTGAGTGGCTAGTGGGTTTGAACTGCTGTCCTTGTGCTTAGTAGGCCAACACATAACACACCATGACACTCAGGAGCCTCTAAAAACAATGTATTTGTTGGCTTGTTGAATGTCTTCTTTGGTGAAATGTGAAGGGTCTGCTCATGTGTTCTGGCTATTTTTTCAAATTGCATTGTGTTTTTATTGTTGAACTGTTGAAAATGTCTGTAACTGTATAGGTTAGTCCTTCATCAGTTATGTTGTTGCCAATTTTTCCCCCTAGTCTGTAGGTGCTCTTTTTACTCTTTTGGTAAAGTCTTTTCATGTTTACAAGTGTCTAACTCTTGTATCTGATATATATGCATATAGATATGAATACTATGTGAAATACTATATATATAATCTAAATTAGAGACACTCTGAGGTCGTGGGGGCCCCAGCAATGTGCACAGAAAAGACGCATCCAAAGGCACAAGCCAATTCCACTTCACCCCTTTGCCTCCTGTAGAGGTTGGCTCTGGAACTTCAGATCATTTAATACTCACTTTCAAGAAAAAGCAGAAGTCATTTTTAAAACACTGACCCAAAAAGCATTAGATGTAGTCCTTTCTCTATGCCATTAAATTTCTAAGAAAGCTACCTGGACAATGGATTTAAAGAGCCCCTTATTGGTACACATTCCAAAAAAAGGTGACCCAACAGATTGCAGAAATTATACATCAATATTATTAATACCAGAGCAAGTATAATTTTGCTGACGATCAATCAGCAACGGATGCAGCATCGACAAGGAGCTGCCAGAAATTCGAGATGGGTTCAGAAGAAGACATGGGATGAGAATATCATTGCCGACATCAGAGGAATCGTGGCTGAAAGCAGAGACTCCCAGAAAGATGTGCGCTTGTGTTTTATTGCCTATGCAAAGACATTCAACTGTGTGAAGTATAACACACTATCGACACCATTGAGAAGAATGGAAATCCCAGAACACTTCACTGCGGTCACATGGAAACTATGCATGGATCAGAGGCGGTTGCGGGAACAGCACAAGAGAATACTATGTGGTTTAAAATCAGAAAAGGTGTGCGTCAGAATTTTATATTTTCACTATACTTATTCAATCTGTAGCTAGAACATATGATCAGAGAAGCTGGATTTCACGAAGAAGAACTTGACGTTGGGATTGGAGGAAGGCTCATTGACAACCTGTGATATGCAGATGACACAACCTTGCTTGCCGAATGTGAGATCCATCAATCAGGTCACACACCTGATGGGGCTCCCTTGGGGTGTGGCCTTCCCATTAGGACGCTCCTGGGAGAGAAGGGCCCCTCTCCTCTCTGTCCTCCTTCTCCTGCCTGCTTGCTGGCCGCCCTGAGAGCTGCTGGACTCCGCCATGTTGCCACCGACCTTGATCCACACGACCTGCGCCCACCGGCCTGTGACGCTCCTGCACTCTGCCTCTTTGTATGCGGCTGCGTGAGTCTGAAGAGGGACCGACAGGCTAGTATTGGACTTAAGGACTTGAGTTGAACTGGGCTGGGCTGTTTGTTGCTTTGTCTTTACTTCCTGAGATAGAGCTCTTTCTTAGACGCACGTGAGTGCCACTGGATTTGTTTCTCCAGTCACATCAGCCAACACAGTGGTGACCCTTTGTCTGACCTACTTTGGGCATGTTATCAGGGGAGACCAGTCCCTGGAGACAGACAGCATGTTGGGAATGTGAAGAAGGGGCGGCAAAGTCCCTCACGGAAATGGATTGACACAGTGGCTGCACGAATGGGCCCAAGCACGGGAACAACTGTGACATCGAGGGACATGGGTCTGTGTTTTCCAGGCTCCTCTGCCTTGTGGGGTCCAAGTGCCGTGAGTGGCCCAGAGGGAGGCTCCTTGTCTGTGCAGTGTGGTTACGATGCAACGTTCAAGACCTACAACAAATGGTGGTGTCGAGGGGCTGTTTGGGGTCCCTGCCAAATCCTCGTTCAAACCACTGGCTCAGAGCAGGAGGTGAAGAAGGACCGAGTGTCCATCAGGGACAATCATAAAAACCTCACATTCACGGTGACCATGGAGAAGCTCAGGGAAGCTGATGCCGATGTTTACTGGTGTGGGATTCAGAGAACGGGAACTGACGATGCCGTCCGGATGACAGTCTCAATTGGCCCAGGTAAGACTGGGTGCCTGTGTGGCTGTTTATTTCCGGGCCTGCTCAATTCTGGTCCCTGAGGCCTCTCTTCAGTGACTGAACTGTGGCCAGACCAGAGAGTGGCTGAGCCCTGGGGTGTCACTGAACCCCACTGTCTGCTTGTATTTGGGAGTGGCTCCTGGGGTGCCTGCAGTGTGGGACAAGTGTTATGGGCACATCATCTCTGTGCAACTCGGTCTCTTGCCCACAGAGGTCAGTCACACAGGTGATGTTGAATAAGACACCTGGGGAGGACCCTCACCTGACGCGCCCTCCACTCTCAGCCCCCACCACAGTGTCTAGCTCTGTGACCATCAGAATGACCACTGGGCCTCCCATGTTCATGCCAGCTACCAGCAGGCCCAGCACAACTCGACAGGAGACCCCCGGTCCCGGACAACACTCACAGTAAGAATCCATCATCTGGACTTTACCTCCGGGATGGCCTCACTAAGGGCGGAGCAGAATTCCTTTCTTTGGCCTCCCTTGCTTAATTACAAACTCCATACTGGAGTTTAGGTGCTACTGGTCCAGGGGCTCTCCAGACATTGGGGAACAGTGGCAAAGATGCAGGTCCCACGGGGATTCCTTCATTCCTCTTACATCCCTCCCACAGTCAGGCCCTTTGTCACATCTCAAGTGCAAAGTTAGGGTCAGGGAGAGCAGTCCTTTGAGTTGGGCTAAACTGTCCTTGAACTCTGCCAGTGTTGGTCTTCATATGGATTATTGTGGACACAGAACACTAGTTTATGGGCAGGGCAAAGTGGACGCTCAGGGACATCTCCTGAGGATGCAGCTCACTGTCTGTCCCTGTGTCCCCCCAGGTCTCTGCTCAGCAGCGTGCACTTCCTGCTCCTGGTCTTCCTGAAGGTGCCCTTGTTCCTGATTATGCTCAGTGCTGCCTTCTGGGTGAACAGACATCAGAGGGTCCCTAGGACCATGCTGGGTCACCCCAATCAGGAGCACCTCTAGCGCTGCTGCCCAAGATGCCCAGACCTCAGGTGCCAGCGCTTATCTGGACTCAGAATGATCCTGTCAGCAGTAACCCCTGTGTCACCGTCTGTGTTTTCATTGAAGGATTGTCTTGGTTCATTTCTGAACGTTTTTACTTTCACATGAGCCTCACACAAAAACTAATAATAAAATACGTCCTCTCTGATCTGAATGTGCCCCTGGAAGATGAGTACACCACCTCTAAGTAAAAACACCCCCTCACTAGTGCTTTGGAAAGGAGCCCTGGTGGTGTCGTGGTTACACGTTGGGCTGCGAACCGCATGGTCAGCAGTTCAAAACCACAAGCAGCTCCGTTGGAGAGGGACTGGGCTTTCGCCTCCCTTAGAGAGTTACAGTCTCAGAAACCCACACGGCATCACGATGAGTCAGACGGACTCGATGGCAGCGAGGTTCCTTTTTGGAAAACGCTGGACACTCAGCAGCTCTCCCTGCTGTCTCCAATCTCTCTGGCGAGTGATGGCTTTGGGTCCATTCTCTCTGCATGTGAGCCAGGTCCGTGGCTTCCACTTGGTTTTTCCTCCCCTGCTTGTCCACATGCCGTGGATCTGGTATCAGGGGGAGGATTCTGCCTGTGGCTAAGTATGGTTACTCAATCATGTATTCTGGAACTCAGGAAATAACAGAGCTATTCAAAGGTCCCCTAGGCTTCCTAGGAGATAGACCTGAGTGAAAAGCCTCTTGGTTCCCAGCCTCCATGAGCCTCCACACCTACTTGTGCCCCCAAGGGTCAGCTGATCGCTAGAAAGTGGAGTCAGTTGAGAGCCAGTGTCCAGGATTCCATTTCATGGTCCCATCATGTTTTTCTACCTGGACAGCCAACTGGGTTAGGAACTCCATGACACATTGGGGACATACACCTTTCCTTCCACCTTCCTCGGGGACCTGACCCCCTCTTCCTTCAAGCGTCTGGGTTGGTGATCTGGGTAAAGTGTGGACATTAGCTAAGTAGCCATGAGTCTGTTTGGGAACCTGAGCCAGCTTCCTGTTCACTGGACCCAGAGTCCTTTGGCTCCTACAGATGACACCAAACAATGTACACTGCTGTAGTATTAATTTTATGGGGTGGGGTGAGGGGCCTGCCCCCACCGTGACTACTACCCACAGGTTCAGTGAGCACAATTGTACGGTTGAGGTGTATGTCTGTTATATTAAAGTCACTGAGAACATGAGAGGTAGAGATTACAATGATGCAGTCAGACACATTTTATGGTAGCATTGCTCCCCTCAGCCCAGCTTGGTGGTCCACGTGGAGAGAGGGAGAAGGGAAGGAGGACAAGGGAACAAGGGAGAGAGGACAGGGAGGAGAGGAGGAAGAGAGGGGCGCGAGCAGCGAGAGGCCAGAGAGAGTTCTATTGTTAGCCCAGGCCTATATACCTCTGGGGGGGTGCAAGCCCACTAATTACAGGTAAAGGCATACGTCACAGGAAAGGGTTGTGCTATGGGTATTGCAGTAATGGAAGGGGATGATCTAGGGACATACACGCAATAGGAAGAGGAGGGATTGGGGGTATACGTGTGATATGATGGGTGGATCCTAGGTTTAGGATGGCAGCTTAACTTTGACCTGTTCCTGGGTCTCCATAGGAACCATTATCAGTAGGATGTGAACTCCTCCTACAGGAGCCTGTCCATTGTGGGGGGGAGGGGGAATGCCTGCACATCTGACCTAGACACACACACTGCCAATCGATTGCAATCCCAGGGGCCCACGAGGGCTTGCCAGCCCAAGGATCTCCACATGTCATGCTGCTCTGATGACTTCTCCTGGCATAGAGCTCCCTCCCTGGAGCTTCTCACCACTGAATCAGTCAGCAACTATCTATCGAGAGCTCACCAGGCAGTGCACTCTGCTGCAGCCACTGGAGTCCAGTGTGAGTAAGCAGACATAGGTCTCTGCTTTCATTGACCGTGCAGTCTGTGGGCTGAGAGCCGCATGGAACAAGCAGGAGTCTAGGACCAAATTAACTGGGATGGAGACAGGGGCGGGGGTCTGCTGTCCGGTCTCTCTCATAGGATGGCCTGCAATCAGGGCGTGGAGGAAAGTCCCAGAGTGCTGCAGGAACAACCCTTCTGACACCGGCACCAGCACGTCCATGTGTCCTTCCACAGCCTTCCAGATAGCCATCTTGGAAAACAGGGAGCAGACGCGTGCAGGGTCAGGGGCCACCAGCTCCAGGAGACAAGTGTAGCATTTTTTATTGGCACATAATCAATATCTCATACAGTTCAATAGTTCCGTCATATTAAGAGGAGTTGTGTGATCATCACCAATCCTATTTTAGAACATTTTCTCCTTTCTTGCGGTTATTGCTGTTAGCGCCCCATATCCCCTCCAAGCTCACCTGCATGTCACTAGGAAATCATTAATCCAGTTCCTGTCTACCTGTCCTGAATTTCACAGACCAGAAAAAAAAAAGCCATACAAACAAAATCAAGAAAAAAATTCCAACAACAATAGCAAAATAAAAGAGGAAGACTTCAATCTAAAGAAAAGCAGAGCCCCAATGTACATCGCGGCACAGTTCACAATCGCAAGGAATTGGAAACAACCTAAATTTCCATCAACAGAAAAATGGATTAAAAAACTGTGGTACATACATATAATGGAGCACTAAGCATCCCTAAAAAACAGTGATGAATGGGGAAATAGATCTATGAGCCTATATTTATCAGTTTAGTATTAAGGTAGCAGAAGGACATTGGCCTCCACTCAAGTACTCCCTCAATGCAAGAATAC